TTATCGAAACAAACGTAATAACAGCGTAAAAAAATCATAAATCACAAAGTTAACTGTTTACATAAATGCATTATAAACTTTTTATATATTTATAATCTGTTATCAAATAATCTCCAATTACATAAGATGCAAATCACATTTCAAATGCCAATCAATTTCTTCGTAAAATAACAATCTGTGTCAATCAGTATTTTGTAGAGGTGTTTATTACATTCACATTTGTAACTAGTACGAAGAAATGAAGAAGAAGTGGTCTTAGGACACTGCCACAAAGTCCGATAATTGTAAGTAATTTCGCAAAGAAAAATGTCAGCTTGGATGACATAATGTTTTTATATTGACTCAGATAAATAAGTGACTTTACTGGACGCTGCAGTTTCAAAACATGCGTGCCTGATTTTATCGTTATCCCTTTTTACTTTCAGCATTTATGCTGCCTTCTGTGTCCGTTCCTATTGTGTATTTATTTATAACCGTTGCTCGCATTGAAAGATTCTTGCTGTGTTTGTAGTAAATGCTATTTAGCTATTTTTATCTGCAGTGCATAACTTTTACTTTGGGGTTCTATTTTAAGACTTCGACTTCGTAAGATTTCTTTTAAAACCTTGGAAGTTGGTATTCCGGCATCGTTTTATTGTTCCTAGGAAGTAGCATATGGATTGAAAATCCACGTTGTGTTGTCGTTTCCGTTATGTAATTACTACATAAGTTAGTACAAGAACGTTCACTAACACATGCGTTCAGGCGCTGCTGATCGGAGGCTGTTTGGCCAGTCATTGACGTCATGGGATATATTGAGATCCACTCGTGAATAACTTGTTTTATTTTACATCCACAATGTTAACTGCTCTCTCAGTTTGGAGCTGCAGCTGAATTTCAAATATCGATATATTATTATAATTTACGTACCTTACCTATTTCAAAGAGTTATGTTAACTCTTTGAAATTAATTAAAGTGCACAATTTTAGTAAAACGAAGAGGGTTCGTGTGCGGTAAATGCTTGTAAAGATATAAGTTTGATTTGATACCGAAGAATCATTTTGCAAATTCTACACAAAAAGGACACAGTACGCCTTCCCGTATTTAACACTTTCGCTATTCACCAAAGCTTGCTGGCAGGCAACTATTTTTGAAGCTATAACAAGTCAGTGGCGGTAAAGAGGCCGCGCTATGCGCACATGAGCTTCTATGTGTGTGTAAAACCTGTATCGGAACACGTTTTACAAACATTGCTTACGTGTTCCGTGTATGTGTGCATGAGACTGTGCACTTTTACATGCCGCGTTTGTAGGCAGTATGGCAGTCGACGATCCGGCTGAATACTCGATCAGTATGTCAGTTTGACACTTTGAATACAGAGTTAGGATAAAATATATTCACAAGATAACATTATTATGTGGTTTTTGATGTTACGTATCTCAAAATAGTTTCTATTGCCTTAAATAAAGTAATATTACATTTGACAGGTATTCTTTTATTATTTCTGACAAGATCTATAACTATGATAAATGTTTGAAACCCACCGACGTTTTCGTCCGATTTAAATAATTTTATGCAACCCATCTTTTACTTAATTGTGACATAGAGATCTATCGATAATATTATATCTTTAAAATGTATACATTGTCGAACATTAAATTGGAGAATTTCAAAGTTTAACGTGTCTGAATTCCACTCCAATCCGACGCCAAATTCTCCTTTCTTATCGAGTAGAGACGATGAGTCAGCTGTTGGTAATACCTAGAGTCAAGTCTTAATTTAAGTTGAATTATCAGATATTAAGCACGTTTTAATTAAAGCCAAAATTTACATGCAACAGCTCGTTGGGCTTTGTTTGTACTTTGAACTTTGGACTCGGTGCTATCGTAAGTGACATAGTAGGTTTAAATTAGAATCCTGAGTGCACTTCTTTAAGACTTCAAATTGGCTACTTAGTTCTTACCTTGTTTTCTGTTATCTTCGTCTTACAATACTGCAACAATGTCAGCGCGTGTACCGACTTTACTAATTTAATTGTGGCTTGTTGCATCCAATTTACTAAGACCTTCAGCTGACATATTACGTGTTTCGTTTCCGATCAAAAAGCGGGGTGAGACAGGTCAATGTAAAGTGGAAGGTAGAACAACAGAGTTGCGTAAGCGTTCTCGTCAGCTTAGAGTCATTTACCCCGCGGCCTTCGTACTGACTTTAAATACAAGTACAAACGACGCTGTGATAGAAACTTATATATGAAAACCTTTTTAGTTCCCCTTTTTTTTAGATAATAAAACAAGAATAACCGTAACATAATCGTATGCATTATTTTTGTTTTTGTGTTGCTTTTTCCTTCAGTAAATCATATGGTCACATATTCTTTATCTACCTGTGTATCATGAGTCCTTATGTATCTTAATTTCTATCATAATTCATCAAATTCAATTATTATTGTTACTCCTGTGAAAACTTAGTATGTATATATATTCGTCGGTATTTTGTAGAAAGCGTCATTCCGTAGATTTTTCAGGGGAGCGTGTTTTAGGTTTACTGACTGTTTAAAAATATTTACATCCTGTTTTAAAATTCAACTTTAAAGAATAAACTTAATCAAATCTGAAACTGAATTTTCAAACAGGACGTAAATATTTTATAACAGTCGGTAAAACTTAAAACATGCTCCCTTGATAAATTCAAAGATATGTTGCTTATGCTCTTTGTACAAAATACCAACGAGATGTATTTAGTGTAATGTATGTAATTAGTTACGTTATTTTAAATCATAATATTCTTTATATATACATACGTACATTAATTCATTCTAATCTATAATTTTTCCTTTCCTTTTGATTTTCCTCCCGTCCCTTTCCTAACCTTTTAGTTTCCGTAGGCTTCAAAGTCTTGTGTTCCTATCTTATACTTTCGATTCAAGATCAACTTTAACAAAACCTTTTGGTTTCCCAAACGCTATTCTATGTGAGTACCCAAACCTTCCTTTCACAAATTATAATACAATTCTCTTTATCGCACACAAAAACAAATTAAAAAAGGCAAGTTATAATAGTCGGACTTATTAATATTCTTGTACGCTGAAGTAGTTTCTTACTATGGGTACAACCACAAGCAGAAGTGTGATTCAACCTTTTAATCACACTGCGTATAATAAACGTATAAGACTATAGTGGATTTGAAAATATCTACGTCATATTGCCAAAACCGAATTATTTGAAAATTTTACACAAAATTACTGAACTATACATTGTAAGCAATGGGACTATACGAAAAAGTGACATAATTTAAAATTTTCATATGAATCGTATGTCTAGGACCTCACGATTCAGGCTTGTCAAATGTATGGACCATGATATAGTTGTAAATATTTTCTGTCATAAAAATGAAAGTATTTACATAGTTTCGGTAAAACATAAAATGTAGAATAACCTCTTACAAATTAACATTGACTGATTATGGTAGTTTTAAGAAATATTCGACGAAATTTTAATTACATTTATTTCAAAGACTTTTTGTGAAATTATTGTTTTTCTCACTAATATAATAATAATAATAATGCACCAGACAACCACACCAATTACCTGGTCTCAAACTGGGGAATTTCCTGTACCATAAACACCAGAACAATGAAATTTACTCCGGGGCACTAACTAGAACACTTCCTCGTCTAGCACCCACAGTGTAAACTGTTCGACCACCGAGGTCGTCAAAAATGTAACGGCGCCGGCGATATGTTCGTCACGATAAACTCTTCCAAATCCAGTAATCGGGTCACAGCTACAAATAACTTTTTGAAAACCCAAGTAAAACCCGCTGTAGTCTACACATCGTGTCCAAGCTCTTCCGGCTATACGTCACGCGAGATAATAGTGACAATATCCACGTTACACACTAAACCTTCTATGTTATGTAGTTACTAAGAGACAAGAAACCTTATTTTTTCACTTGCGACCTACGGTAGTAATTCCTACTGTATATATCTTCCGATGTATGTAAATAGGGTTACCGAGTTACTTATTGTCATTAATTCCAAGTATTATGTACACTTGTAGATGAATACTATTATTTAATAATATTAGAAAAGTTGAACGACTGTTATCTTTCAGGAAAACGTATAAATCAACTGTTGAGGATTATTTGTGATTTTAAGGTGTGCATATAGTGTAAGTTGTCGTATGTGAACTCGTCGAAAATTTGTTGATATTTATCGTAACAAAGCTTAAACATCCTAAATTTAATTTTCATTTGAATTTGAGCTGGCTGTCATTGCCTCGTACTTTTTGAAGATGGAATTAAATGACAGTTCATTGCGAAGAAGTGTTGCCCGCTTGCAAGCAGCTAGTGATTGCAGTCGATAAAATATTCTATCAACTAAATGTTGGTCACGTTTATGCGTTATAAATAGCCGAACTTGTTTCATATGAATCATCATATCAATCATCATCATCGACGCATTATTCGTCCAACTGACGGGTATAGGTTCAGTTAAAATGTCAATTTTTGTAAGTTCATACATACACTACATTTAGAATTACGTCTTCTAAAAATACAAAGAGGAGGCGTAATTTTCAAGTTTTTCATATTAATTCAATATACATATATAGGAAATCAAATCCGCCTGTCCTTATTAAAATGTAAATGAATTAAAATTTATTTCGATACTAGTGGGCTAGCTCTTAATATAAGAATAAAGAAGGCAATAACGCAATAAGTGATCGTAACACTTACAATTCAGACATTTTTAGCAAAATTTTACCTTTCACAATCTATCGATAAAACTGTCGACAACAACTACGTGACTATTTAAAATTTTATGAAAACTGGCAACACTGCAAATGTCGTTTTACTTCGTCTGAAAGAATATAGGTACATATCAAAACAAGTAATTTAAAATTTTGATTAACATTTTATATGAACTTAAAGTACTTATCATTTTAGATGCAAGTAATGGTTTTGGATGTGTACTTATAATTAACTTAGGTTTTATGACTAATAGACAACTTCTTGTTTACAGATTACAACGCCGCCCCGCTGTTCGCCTCAGAAAACGCTTCCAGTGGTAAGTTTTAGATTTAATAATTTGATTACTCTTTATTGAAAATCATAGAAAATGTTGGAATTCTTGCTAAGGGTACAAGCATCTAACATCAAGTTCATGTGATCAATAGAAATTATATCTTAACAATCGCACAACATGATGAAATTCTAATTTTAAATTATAGCCGGTTGTGCTCCTGGTGGCAAGCGACTGCATGTCCATAGCCATTGTAGTACCACAAAAATCTGAGGAGTTATTTTTTTAATTTTCAAATCGTTTTTTTCAATTCTACAATTTTGAGTTACGACAGTATTTTAAAATATTGCGAAATATATTATATATAGGAATAACGGGAGATTCCACCAATTGTAACAGCGGATATATTCAGAAGTCGTCGGTTGGGTTCTGAAAGTATATTTATTTGTAATTAGTAGTAATAAGTCACAACAATGTGATAACGTCACACTAGTGCAAGTATCTAAGTTTCCTGAGAACACTTGTAGTTCAAGGCTGTGTCAAAAACTATAGGTAAGATAAATATATTTGAATTTATTACCGAGAGCGCAAGATATAGAGTTGATGTGCGATTGATACAATACATCATTATGACATTTCTTCTGAAAACCAGACAATTCCTATGCCCATCACAAATGGCAGACCTAGCGAAAGAATAGCCATAAATAAATTGCCTAAAAAGGGGGAAAGCAACCCAAACGAGTGTGGGGGTGCTGACCGGGTGGTTCCTCTGTAGTAACTATCAAATATGACATGTAACAACATCGTGGAAATTTGTTTACTTCGTGAAAGTGTTTGTTCTGCTACGTTACTTAATTTTAGCTTATAGTTTAATTTCAGTCATATTTTATTTCTTCTTCTAGTACTTTAAAAAGTTAAAATTTAATCTTTTCTTTTACTACTTTTATCAAAGAAAATCAATAAAATACTGAATTTTATCTTTCAAAACATATATTTTGCGTTAAAATCACAATCGGAAGCAAAGCTTTAATTTTACTTTAATTTTAATTTTTCTTTTATGTTTATTATTTTGTACTCTTTCTCTCTCTAATTTATACACTTTTATCATAAATAAGTCACGATATGAGTATGAACAACACCCGTAAATCAACTTACTGCTGTCATGGAAGTTTATAGATTAAATTTCGCCGTGGACTATAAATCTTAAGTCGTGAACCACCCTAAGGTACATCGCTTAGCATTACCATTAGAACATTCTCATAACTACTTAAATGGTATTGTTACTGAAATTATGCTTTGTTCGATAAGAATCATTGCAGATTGAATGATATAGCCGATTTATGGAATCTTTGGTGTACCTACCTGCAATAAAGTTATTGACTTTTGAAGATATTCAATTGTTGTTTATACATAGCGTGACATGTATCTTTATGGATATTCTGTTGGTTTGCGTATTATCATCTTATATTAATATATTTAAATAGGTTAGTGGTGTGAGTCTAACCCAGTTATTGACTGCTGAAGGACATCGCGATGTCGCACTTGTCGATGTACTTGACCGCAATAGAAATGACGGTTTTATACTCAACTTTATAGTGTAGTGCCTGTAATTTAGTGAAATTACAGACTCAGTGGAGTTGTCAAGTTATGTCTCAGGGTATTTATATCTGAGATCTTTACAACTTAGAGCGGTTACACGCGGTGACTTTTAGACGATGCAAACGCGATGCAGTAGCTAATCGTGTATCTTTACACACACGCGCGACTTTAAGCAACGATGAAAACGCGCGACAGCATCGATACAAACGCGCGATTGCATGCAATCGCCTATAAATCGCAAGTATAGCTGTGCAATCACGCGTTCGGAACGCGCATTTGCATCGCTGACAAAAGCCGTGTATAACCAACCACTCTTAATGCTTTGATTGGCACTGCATCTGTTAAGGACTGGTTAAGGACGGTTATCACCAGGCACACAAGACCCGTGTACCCTGTCACTTGGTGTCGTAAAAAAATCTTTTGTATTTGCGTTGTCAATGTTTATTTCTTAGTATTTAGTTTATAGTGATTGTTTGCTTACTGTCGTTAATTTAATGTCTATTCTGTTGCGATATGAGCTGTTCGTACCCTCTAAGATAAAATAAAAATAAGATATAGCGGTTCTGCTAAGTTCATCGCCAGACAACTTATTGCGTAGCGTAATAAATATTCAATTCACAACTTCATGAGCTTGTACAATTTTAATTTAAAATGTTCCTGTTTGAGTTTTAGACTTCATTAACTTTCTAATATTAATTAATAGTCATCATCAATTTGGTTCATTAATATTTACTTCGACTTTACAAAGTTTTGTTCAGAAACTGTTGAACAGGAAATGTTTATTTCTAAAGTTTGTGTGTTTAGATAATGAAGATATTTTGTATAATGAGTACTTTATAAATCGCAACATATCGGTGTACAGATTTCGAATAGCGGCCTGTCATAAAAATACCTTACTCATGAAAAAAATGATTTATTATAACTTAGACTTAAGTATCTGGCGCGTATAGCCGACGAATCATAATATATACCGGCCCAACGTCGTCACGTAATTACTCTAACCAATGGAAAGCTCGGTATTTTAAACTCAATACAATTTAGCAAAAAAAAAAACCAAACAATATGCATGTTTTTGCATTCTAATGCAAATCAAGCAACCAGTGTATTATTTATGAAGACTACAAAATTTGCTAATGCTTTTTAATCACTTAGCTATTATACAAATAAATGCTCATATTAAAATGCAATATTTTAGTAGCCAGCGCTAAATTAAAGATACAACCACACATAACAACTACATAACTTTAGCTAAGAATTCTTGTTCTTACCTAAAATATGTAGTTGTAACTCACATTCGTTCGGCACAGTTAGTGGTAGAATCAACAGGGGAGATGACGAAAACGATGCAAGTTTAAAAATCGGTGACGTTGGCGTGGTTTATTATTGTTTATTTATTGCGAGGGAGTTTTCAAAATGGCCACCGTAAAGATATAACGATTTTCCGCGAAAAATCTCAGAAAATTGATATATTGAAGAAAAATTACAATCTAAGATCTAGAATTATAGCCAAAATAAGGCGTTAACTCTAGCTTGCCCCGAAGGACGCAAAATTTTACTTTTACTTTACATTTATTTATTGAGTTTTGGTTATGGAACGATCAGCTTAAACAAATAATTAAGAGAGTCAAAAGGGTAATAATATTTAGGCTAAAAATGAATTCGTGTAAAAACTGAAATTATAGAAACCCGCCATTTTTCCGGTTGACGTGAAAAAAGGGCATTTTTCAAATTCAAGATACATTCCAAATTCGAAAATATTAGTATGACGAACTCTTTAGACTAACTGACAAGTAATAGAATAAAACAACACTATATGGCTAGCCACAAGACAAGATGAGTGTCTGAATGATAAAGCGTGATTGCACGATACTTGTACTTCCAATACGACCATAGGTTGTTAACCCACAAAGATAAGCTATCGCGCCGGAGCGAGCGGCCTACATACTTCCGCGCGCTATTATAGGTGGCCTTCTCACTGCAGAAGTTACGATTTATTATACCAATTTTATGTTCTTTTTTAATTGCCCGTGACTGTGTACTATGCAAAGAACTCATATTTTGCTACTTTACGGGCAGAATCCACCCGTTTTTACTAGAGTTGAGGTCAACGGTGTGTCCAAGTTTCCATAGTATAGGAAATGAAACGATTTTTTCGGATCTAAATTGCGTATATTTGTTTTTATTTTCAAATAAACTAATGTGCCGGGCCCTTTACAGGTCCCATGGTCACGGCTAAGGGTCCGAAACGTTAATTTGTTTGAAAAAAAAAACGCAAATATTCGAGAATTAGATCCGAAAAAATAAATTTCCTGTGTGTAATAATAGTGAAAACCTAAGCACTTCATATTTCCACATTATGTATCATAATTATTGAGAAACAGTACAGTTTGTTACACAAGATTCATTAAAAAAAAAAAATCACAAAGTAATTGGCCTAGTTCAGTATTCAAATTCGAAATCATTATGTCATCAACGAAACTTTAAGAATATGACGCTTAATAATGAAAATGTTTTTACGTACCAATTAAACTTTACCTCTTGTAAAGTCACATTTTTGTTGAAAACAAACTTCACTAACACACATTTGTGAATTGGGCAATGCAGTTTACATATATACATTCATATAATGTAAGTGCATACATATAATGTTTGAGAACAGAATTAACTAAATGTGAAACTTGTTATCTAAGAATAGTTCGTATGTATTTAATTGAATTATAACGTTGTCGCAAATATACGGCTGTGGAAGACAATCGGTGTGTGTACTATTAAAGAGCTTTTTTCTATGAACCTAGAAAACTTAAGTGAAACTAAAAAAAACTAGAAAAAAATGTTTAATTATGCAAAATGATTTTTTTATAAGTACGCATTTGTTGCACTCCGTCTCACCTAATGGAAAGCGACGATGAGGTCGACGATGGAGCATACACACCTAAATAATCTATGCACTCTCGCATTGAAAAGATCTAACTTTCAAGGAAAATTGTCTGAAGGCACGAAATTTCACTCCGTACCCGTTCGCCATATACCTAAATGTCAATGAAAAAGTGTTTATAAAAAGTAAATATTTTAAGTAAACACTCTCTTCTCACACATTATTACTCTCTGTACACTCACATCTACCTCACCAATACACATACTGTCGAATTCAAAATGTAGGCCAATAGCACTGCGTCTTAGATTATAGTATAAATATGAACAATCCAAAAAAAAACACTTCGCGCGATTTCTTGAATTATCCACAACATAGGGGTGGAACCCTAGTCTACGTCTAGTCTGCCGGCCCGGTAATGTAAAGGAGAAGGCGGAAAAAGAATACATCATGCAATTCCATCGCACACTCCGTGATAATCCGCGAAATACATATACTGCCATTTACTTACTTACTTACTACTACTTGTACTTGAAAATTTAGAACGTGACAATTTAAAAAAGCTGTAAGGACG